CATGATGTTACCACTGCTATTCTACCCAACAAAGAAATAAATGGCAAAAGAAAAAAAAACAAACAAATCCATTTAAAAAATAATAGCAGTTATAATGAACTTACCATAATTGTCTTTAGGTATTATTTATGTCTATATTCCCATAGGACTTTCCCAACATTATTGATAGTTGCATCCCTCTATATAAGAATTTGGTCATGTTTTCTTTCAATACTAAAGGTATTTGTTTATATTTCTTTAATCAATTATATATGTATTTATATGTTTTTTAAATCAAGTATTCACTCAAGTACTTGAATACAGTTGATATCAAAGTGTTCACAGTAATTAAACTATCAAACTTCTCCTTAATGTGAAACCTTAAGGCTGAAGTCCTCCTAGGGAAGCTGTTTTGTAGGGACATTGTGAGTAAAGAGGTCATCACATTGAGATCATTCTGGACATCCTATTTTGCTATCAAAGGACATTTAACTATTCTCTGATTGGTATCTTAGACTATTTCACAGTCCTCAGATGATTGTGTTCACCACTGACCTTGGCAAGGCTGTTCCTGACAAGTTAGCCTTTCAGTATAATTGGGTTACTTCCTATATAACTGTTGTCTGGATTTTTAAGGTGCTTTATTTTCCATCTTTAGCTTATTAAAACTGGAAGTATGTAGATTTAATAAGCTTTAGCAGAATCACTATAGCAGAACAACCATAGGAGAACAAGAGTTTGGGAGATTGGAGCTTGACATTTAGAAAAATTAAAAGGAATAAGTATTGCTGCAAGGTTAAACTTTCAGTATATCTCACCGAGATGACTAGGGCAAAAGAACATAAACACTAAAACATCCTGTACAAACCTGCTTTTACCAACTCTTTCTCATCTCAGTAACTCAGGAAGTTACTTCCGCATTGAAAAAAGAGTATTACTGCTGCACTCATGTCTATAGACTACATTACCAGAAGCAACTCAGGACAATAACTGGCATTTCTATTTTTATCAAACATTAGCTAATGTCTCTCAATAAAGGAGTCACATGAACCATTTATTGTCACATGTGTTTTCCGAATTTCCTATCCAAACCAAGTACATTAAACTTATACTTGCATCTACCAGACCTACCTCTGTCATTTTTGTCATTCCCATTATCATCATCTAGACAGTATGTAAATCAATAATGCGTTATCACCCATTAGAGATGGCTTCAAAAAGTCTTTGATTTAGGTTCATAAAACTATAGATCCTTCATCTGGCAATGGATGGCAATACAGACGGAGACCCACATTGGAGCACCGGACTGAGCCCCCCAAGGTCCAAATGAGGAGCAGAAGGACGAAGAAAATGACAAAGGACTGCGAGGGAGGGATGCTATCACCCACTGATACAAGGGGTCGGATCTAATGAGAGTTTACCAAGGGCAGTTGGACTGCGACTGAACGAGCACGTGATCCAACCAGATTCTCTGAATGTGGCCAGATTCTCTGAATGTGGCTGGCCCGGAGTCTTTCTGAGAAGCCATTGACAATGACACTGGGACTAGTTTCCTCTGCATATACTGGATTTTTGGGATCCAGTCTGTTTGGATACTCACCTTCCTGGACCTGGAGGGAGGGGGGACGAACTTGAACTTCCCACAGGGCTTGAAACCCTGACTGCCCTTAGGGACAAAGAGGGAGGAGGAGAGGGGGGGGAGTGGAAGGGTGTTGGGAAGAGGGGCGTTAATGGAAACTTTTATAATTTAATAAAATTACTTTAAAAAAAACTATGTTTAGAGAGGGCTGATGAAATGCTAGTGAAATGTTGTGTGTTTAGAGTTTTGAAACTTAGTTAATTCTAAGAAACACACTGACAGCCTGATATTGTGGCTTCTCTGTCATGTACACAAACACCCCCCCACACCCCCCCCACAGAGATATACATGCATATACATGCACATACACACCAGACACTCATATTGAAAACCCATAAAGACTTACTGTGTCATTCATATAAAACAAAGATGTAAGTTTCACTGTTTGTAAGGCCTTTCAATTACATTAAACTAATAGTTATGTTATATACCATTTACATTTCTATAGTTTTTTATAAGCATTATTCTAGATTAAAACCCCTATCAGTGGCTCTCAGTCTATGTGTCACAGCCCCTTTGGGGGTGGTCACATATCAGATATCCTCCATGTCAGATATTTACATTGCTTCACAACTAGCAAAATTCTAGTTATGACATAGCAACAAGATAAATTTATGGTTTGAGATCACCACAGTATGAGGAACTGTATTAAATGCTTGCAGCATTAGGAAGTTTGAGAACCTCTGCCTTATGTCCTGTGTGATATAATATTTCAATCTGGGACCTTAATCATGTTTTTTTTTCTTATTGGTGCATTATCAAGCATTCATGGTCAGGACAATGGAGAAATACAACTGTCACAGTTGGTTAAGTACTGAACTAAAAATACAATTATACGATTCCATGTATGGCTCAAGGAAGGTGGGATAGAAAGAATGTAAGAACTTTAAGATAGAAATGAGAGCTAAGAAATATTTTCCTTCTGGGTGTGATGGAACCGTTGCAACAATAAACTCATACCATGTGTGGTTACCTACATTAGGACAACACAAAACTTGAACTATTACAACTAGCCATGGATGGGAGACAGACTCATGGGGACCTACCTCTTCTTCCATAATTATTCTAGGGAGTCATTATTTTATGATTTATACCCACTGGTGAATCTACAATGATTCAATAGGTAGTTCTAAACACAGGGTCACACCTATAACCCTTGCTAAACTAAGTGGCTTATAAAGCAAAAAGATAAACAGAGGAAAGGGACTTGTGGTCAAGAGGAAATAAAATACTTTTTAAAAAACTCATATTAAAAATATCAATCCTATTACAAATAATATGAAATCTTAGAAACTTATGCATGCAATGACTTGGAACCTTTAAATTTTAGTATTTATATTTTTGGTTTATAATTAGAAGTATTGGGAAAATTGAAAATTAAGATTTTTATTGTATGGATGTCAATGATATTTTCTATTATTATGATATATATTTATAAACAGTACTTCCAATTTTACCTATATTAACTACATTTATTTTAATAAATATTACTTAAGCTATCTTAAATAACATTATATTGTTTTACTGTGCTTTCTAACACTGTGTCTGTCAAACATAGTGGTATGTAGGTAGACATGGTGCTGGAGAGAAAACTGAGAGTCCTACAATTGGATCAGCAGATCTCTGGAAAATAGTGTCACACTGGTATGGGAGGTCCTTCTGTCTATGTGTTGCTTTTGTTGCTTAATGAATAAAGATACTGCTTTGGGCCTATAGTAGAGCTATAGGAGAATAGAGCTAGGCAGGAAAAACTAGACTGAATACTGGGAGAATGAAGGTGGAATCAGAGAGAAGCCATGTAGCCTTGCTGGAGCCAGACAGAACTTTAGCTGGTAAGCCACAGCCTCGTGGTGATTCACAGATTAATAGAAATGGGTTAAATTAATACATAAGAGTTAGCCAATAAGAAGCTAGAGCTAATGGGCCAAGCAGTGATTTAATTAATACAGTTTCTATGTGATTATTTCACTTCTGGGCAGCCAGGACGAACAAGCGGCTCCTTGCAACACCACACTAGGCCTAGCTTGAGCATCTGAGACCCTAAAGTGTGTCACTGAGGAGTGGCACACTTCTTCCAACAAGGGCACATATACTTCAACAAGCTCATATCTCCTAATAGTGCCACTCCGTGGTGACCAAGCATTCAAACACGTGTGTTTATGGGGTTATTCCTATTCAAACTATTGCACTACCAAAGTATTATATATTAAATCATTGATTTCCTTATGAATATTTGTCCAGTTTTGAGCACATCAGTCATTATGCACCAAGTAAAATACCATGTACAAGACAACATTCTTAAGAAATGCCTCAACCAATATGCACTATACTGTTGGTATATTTTACTTTCTGTTGAAATATGGAATACTTGTATAGCGTGACATATACTGAATTTCTATAGCTCAGTAAATTTACACCATCCAAGCAGCAATTAACTAATAAAGAAAAGATGTTCTTTAATATTTCAGAATCATTCAAATGTCTTATATCTATGACTTATAAGCCATAGAGAAGATATAAAAATAACATATATTTTTCATATTGAAAAAGAATAGTGAACTCAGGTCAGCCTTCACTGAATAAACTAGAAGTGAAGAATATTATAGTATGAACACAGACTCTTTTTAAGTAATGGGTCTCTATTCTGAAACTCTAGTAAATAATAAAAAATACAGTGTGATATTGTTTTGCAAGAAATTGATCATACTGATTATTAGCCAACATAAATTTCTAAAATAATCCTTCAATTTATATCTTTTATATAATATAGAAAATAGTTAAAACGAAAAGGAAAGAACAGAAGCAACAAATACTCCGTAATGAATCATTGGATAAAATTTCAAAAATATCACAACAGTAACCTCCAGTAAGACTCCAAAAGATACATAGACCTCAGAAGGTTGCATATAAAACTATACATAGAGTCTCTAAAGTTTATAGTTACTTAACTGTATTTTCTGAAATGAATTTTCTAGTTAGATCTCTAAGATGAAACAAAATAAAAGAAATTTCCTTAAAAATACTCAATATTAACAGAAGCAGATGTAGAAATATCTTCTATTTTATTTACCTAACAGGAAGACAATATTTTTGAAATGCTAGTATAATTGTCAGTATATATTCCAGTTACTTGCCCTGCTTTCGATTCCATATTTCCGTTGTTCATATTTGTTACATATTTACTTGATGAAAGTGTCAGCAACTCTGTTCTCAGAAAGAGAAATGATGTAAATCTTGTGTCACTAGACAAAATTACTGTGCATATTACCTCAAAAGCGAGGAGACAAAACCCACACATAGTGCTTAGAGAATATTACCAAAGGCTCACTAGGCAAAGGCAGACCTGGAAATCTTATTTGTATTAATTGAAGGGCTCACCTCTGGACCTCTGATGGCTATTTGTATGAGTCATTCACCACATTCAGAGAATTGTTCTCATCACCATCCAGATAAGTCATTTTTTTTTTAACTGATGATTGTTTTTACAGCCAGGCAAAACCTGGGGAAATTTGTGTATTCAGTTTTGAAAAAAGGATAGGAGTATGCAGTAGACAGTTTGCTTATCCTCTGAACAAAGTACCAGCTGGCAATGTGAAAGGTGGCCAGGAGGAAGGAACATCTCTAGACAGTTTTGAGATTGGTTTCCTTATGCCCTAGATCACGTCATCAATGAATAATTCCATTGAACAAAAAAATCTCCAGCCCCTGACTCCTGAATTGCACAAGGCCTATCACACACAGGAATTATTAGCAAGGGTAAGGAAATCACAAATGGCCCCACTGACCCTACAACTAACTTATTTCACTTGTAGAACTAGTTAGCAGATATTTCACCATACAAGAATGTCTTTAAATGACTCGGCATCTTGTTTTACTAATTTTATTCTGTCTCACAGCATTAAGGTCCCGAAGAAAATGCCTGCTGTGATGTACTCTTCTACCAGAGTGCGCTCCCTGAAGGTTTGTAGAACGATCACTAAGTCACAAGTGCTATGATGTATTCTCTTACCAGAAAGTGGGGCTACCTGAAGGTTTATAGCTGGATCACTAAGTCAAAAGTGAAGAACTCATAGTCAAGGATAGCTAGAGCTACAGTCCACCACCAGGACATTTTAGATAGCCATATATGCAACTGACTTGAGAAGTGATATTGGTATCCTCGGTATGCTCAAGGGAAATAAGGAACAATGTGTTGTTATTGCCAGGGCCATTCTTGGACGTGGCCTTGAGGACGAGGAGATGTCTGCTGGCCACAGATAGACAAGGCCCCACATTGCACCCATTCTTTTGTCTGGGCCTCAGCGTAATCCTGTTGAGCATGATTTTCTTTTTATGTCATCATCTCTCTTCGTGACCTTGGTTGGTCATCATTGACCCAGTTCTTATAAGAGCAAAGCCCCATGTGGAGTTGAGACAAAGCAACATTGCTTACCAGTGCTGCAAACAGCATCTAGGAACTATGTCTTGACAATGTTTGCACTTTTGTTCAGCCCAAGAGATCCCTTTCTTTAATTAGATCAGAAGTACTCCTGTTCTTCTTAACGGCCCCTTTGGGAAATAAAAAACAACTTGTTGTCCTACAGGGCCATCCTTGGACTTGGCCTTGAGGACCAGGAGATGTCTGCTGGTGCTGACCCTGGCCTGTAAGCATGATGTCATTGAGGATGATGATTTCGGCACATTGCACAACAATGACAAATGGCAAGACTTGGAGCGCGAACCCTGAGTGATGGGCACATGTTCACCCCGCCCAAGCAACGGTCAGTCATTCAGGAACATCCTCTTCCCACCAACTACTCTGATGGCTAGCATTAGACAGCCCCTGATTGTCAAGTCAATAGGCAGGGCTATGAAACCTCTGCATCTTGCCTTTGCAGCATCGAGTCTGAATGTGACACGTGACACGTGACATCGAGTCTGAATGTGACACGTGACACGAGCATCGAGTCTGAATGTGACACGTGTCACATTCAATTCTGCCTACCACTGTCAACACACTAATGAAGAAAGAATCCATTCTCTTAAGGTTGTTAGGGCCCCACCAGTGGCTGTGCCTGGCCTAGCCTGCTCTGTGTCACTGGGGATACAGCTAGTCCTAGAATTTGCAAAGCAACGTATTTCAAAAATTTCGTCTATGCATGAGGCTGATAGGCTCTGCCTCTGCTGTGTGCTAGGAACTTCTTGTACATGAGGCTAACTTCCTGCCTGGAGCGCCATGAGGACACCACCTGTCCTTCGAGAGGCTCCAGAATTGTCTTCCATACTGTCTTGCTGGAAAGGTAGGTCTAGTTCACATAATCAGAGGGGTCGGAGATAAGTTTGAGGATGCCTAGATGCCAGTTTGATATTCGAGT